CTTGAAGATGCTTTCTAGGTCTCTTCCTTTTTCTTTTCCTTCACGTATGCCAATTATGCAGAGGTTCTTTCACTTGAGGGATTCCCAGAATTGCTGTACTTCTGTTTCATTTTTTCTTATTCTTTTTCTTTTTGCTCCTCTGATTGGATCATTTCAAATGTTCTTTCTTTGAGCTCACTGGTTCTTTCCTCTGTTTGATCAAGTCTTCTGTCAGAGCTTTCTACCATGTGTTTCAGTTCAGATAATGTATTCTTTATTTCTAGAATTTCTATTTGGTTTTTAAAATTGATTCTATACCTTTGTCAAGTTTCTCATTCTGCTTCTGAATTATTTTGCCGATATCATTTAATTTTTTATCTGTATTTTCTTGGATTCCCCAAACATCCTTAATAGTGTTATTCTGAATTCCGTGTCAGGCATTTCATAAATCTCCTGTACCTCTGGGTCCATTGCTGGTGCTTCGTTTGTTTTCTTTGGTGGTATCATATTTCTCTGTTCTTTCTCGATCTTTGTGTCTTTACATTGATGCATGGGCATTTGAGGAGGCTGCTACCTCTTCCAGGTTTTATAGGTGTTCTTAGGTGGTGTTAGACTTTTACTGGTTAATATCAGAGCTTTGTCTCTGGTCTGTGTTTTTTAATTTTCTGTTTTGTGGGGATTATTAGCTACCACCACCACTTAACCTCTGCACTGAACCTAATTTGCTATCCTATGGTTAATTCCCAAATTGGGGTAATTTCCTGTGGAGACTAGAACTTGAACTCTGTACTTGAGCTAAATTGCTGCTTTGCTGCTGATTCTCTGGAGAAGGCTTTTTGTGCAGATTGGATTTAAATTTTTGGCCTTTTAATCACTTCTGGTCTTGTGAGGTCACAACAGACACAACTGGGCTATGTGGAAATTCCAGCCCAGTACTGAGTCTTTCCTGCAAACTGCACCCCCTGCAGTTCTGTCTCCCTGAGTGGTCATCACTGAGTGGTGCCCATGCCAATCAGAAGGCAAATCAGTTGCTCACACTGTGCCCTAGTGTTCCCCTGGAGGGCCAGTCTCCACCCCACACTCCAACATCTGTGCACAAGCCCATCACTATGACTCACTGACCTCTAGGTGGCTCCTTTCTCCAGTTGGCTGTGGCCCCTCACTCCTATGTGGGTCCAGGGGAACCCTGCCAGTGGCCTTGCTGGCCTGGGACCTGGTATGGTACACTATAAAGCCCTCTTCTCCCTTGCAGACTACAAGCAGTTTTATGCAAAGGTTGCTGCTGTGGCTTTGCCATCTCCTGCCAGCTGCTCCGTGTGCTGCCACTGCTCCTTGCTTCACGTTGGCCCAGAAGCAGCTAGAGCTTGGAGTGGTCAGAGTGGTCTCTGCTTCCTCTTGCTGTGGACTCTCATGCCATCACAAACTCCATGGGTCTTTCGTCCTCTTCCCCTGAGCTCCAGCAGTCCCAGGATGGCGATCTTTGCTTTTTAATAGTAGTAATTGGTCTATTATCGGGGGGAGCAATGCTTGGGGATCATCTATTCTGCTATCTTGACATCACTCTCTATGAAAGCTTTTTCTGTGTCCCCATTTCCCAGCCTCCAAAGTGTCCTGGAGTCCTCCCTATGGCTCTTGAGGTCACTGAAAGCCACAGAAGATAGAGGCTGTAGCCTCTCAACTCACAGGCCTCTGGGAGCAGCCCAGGCAGGACCTGGAGCTGAGCAGGCTGGAGAAAAGACCCTGCCAGGTTGTTAGATAGCTTTTTTTTTTTTTTTTTTGTCTTTTTCATGACCGGTAAGGGGATCGTAATAACTTCGTATAGCATACATTATACGAAGTTATACGAGCTATGGCTCTTGAGGTCACTGAAAGCCACAGAAGATAGAGGCTGTAGCCTCTCAACTCACAGGCCTCTGGGAGCAGCCCAGGCAGGACCTGGAGCTGAGCAGGCTGGAGAAAAGACCCTGCCAGGTTGTTAGATAGCTTTTTTTTTTTTTTTTTTGTCTTTTTCATGACCGGTAAGGGGATCGCAACCCTTGGTGTGGTGTCGCCCACACCGCGCTCAGCCAGTGAGTGCACCGGCCATTCCTATATAGGATCCGAACCAGCAGGAGTGTCGCTGCGCTCCCAGCGCCGAGCTCTCCGGAGTGCGCCACTGGGCCGGCCCCTGGTAGATAGCTTTTTAAAATGCATTATCAAACATTAATCTCACAAAGCCATACTGTTTGAAGATTTCCTCTATAAACAGCAAACAGTAGTAACTATGGTAATATTTAACATCTAGAATTAGATGTAAATAGCTTTTATGATTCTCTTTAGTATGTGCTTTGACTCATAATAGGTATCAGAATTTTTAAACTATTAATGCGATTGGCCATAAGCTTTTTGTTTTTGTTACTGTTTTTGTAAATTAATGTGAAAAAATAAAGATTAAAATGTTTTAAAAGCCATATATAATTGAGATTGAATTTCGTTGGAAGCAGATGCACTTTTCTGGAGAGAGATAGTTAATTCTAGTAATGACATGAGCAATGTGTAGATACTTCAAAAAGTTTGTGGAAAAATGGAATTAAAAGATCAAACATCAGTCTTTCCATGACCTTTTTGAAGTACCCTTGTGTATTAGTCCGTTTCTGTTGCTTATAACAAAATACATGGAACTGGGTGATTGATAAAGAAAATGAAATTTATTGCTTACAGTTTGAGAGGCTAGGAAGTCCAAAGTCCAGGGAACACATCTGGTATAAGGCTTTCTTTGGTGGTGACTTCAGTGGCGGCAGAGTATCACAGTGTGAAATGGCAGAGCAGAGAGAGCAGAGAGTAACCTCCTTGCTTTAAAGCCCTCCCAACCATGCCCACGACCACCATTTTTAATCCATTAAGAACCTTTTCAAGGCCCCACCTTTCAATTACCATAATAGAATTTCCCACCCTCAGCAGTTACAGTAGGAATTAAGTTTTGGGAGGACATCCAACCCAGGGCACCTCGTATGTGAATTAGCAGAGTGCATCTTAGAGCAATACTTTAAAAACTGTAATGTTAAAGACTGCTTGGCAGAAAACTAATTATTTTTCAGTCATATATATAAATTAAAGTCAGACTTCATTTTGTCTGAACTAAGTTATTCCTAAATCTGAGAACTAGGTATGTGGCTTTGTGTTCATGTGGTCCCAGATCCTGTGGGGTTTTGCACATCATGGGGGCCCTATAGATGAATTAGATATTGCTTTTGTTTAAAGTCCAAGTGGGAATCACCAGTGTCTTAACTTTTGCCACAAAAGATCCTTCAGATTATATAAACCCCAACTATCCACAAGATTCAGAAAGAGGAGGATAGAAGAAGGTGCATTATATACAGATGGAAAGTTATTTTTTCATGTTCCTTGACACTCCTTTTTCCCGCTTTCTTTGAGTGGAAAAATGTTTGCTGTTAGCGACAGACATATAATCTAGTCCCCTTTCTTCCTGCTATATAGGTATATGTACTGCTTTCTCGTACACTATACCCCTTCCCTTGTAATACAGATGGATGCTTTTTACCCTGGGAAGCAGCAGGGTAGTCTTTGAGGTATTTTAGCCCTGAGGAGAACAGCTTCTTTCTGAGATCTTGGAGAGATAATCTCCAGGGAAGCATGCAGTTAAATGTACATCACTATTACTCTCCTCCCAGGGTTTGTGTTTGCAAAGGAATTTTGTGTAATTATGGATTTCCCTTAGGCTTTTCTGATAGCTTCTGGTCGCTGACAGTGCACTATATCTGAAAAAAAAAAAAAATTTCAAGAAATCTTGAGGCCATTTTGTTATTTTTTAACAGAAGATGCCAGATTAAGGTGAAGGTGATGTTTGGTGGCATCATTTTCATGCTTCTTTTATGTTCAAAACCTAGTGAATTGTAGAACCAAACCTTTTTGCTAAGCATGTCCCATGGCACTCAACATTATTCTTAGACTGCCCTTTTAGTTTTTTTTTGGGTTTTTTCCCTCCCATTTTTGGCTGATGGCCAGTACAGGATTCCAAACCTATGACCTCGGTGTTAACAGCACCACACTCTAACAACAAGGTGAGCTAATTGGCCAGCCCTGCCCTTTTAGTTTTTAACTGAGGTACCCCTCTCCGTTCAATTATATCTTATATCTTAGGTTATTGTATGTTATCCACACATAGGTGCTCAAACCTGCTTCCTACTTTCCCCAAGTCCCCTTGGTTTAGGAGCCGTTTATTCTCTTCCTGCTTCTCTTTCTGCTCCCCTATTTCTTTCCGCAAGTGGTTGTTAGGAGGGAGGTCTTACGCCACTTTTTAGCAGGCAGCAATGTAGAAGGGTACCTGGCTCTAGGGATAAGTGCTGGTGTGGAAATGACTTCAGGATGAAGTTACCGCAGATAATAAGAAGAAACTGAACTTGGGCTAGAAGATCTCTGTAACAAGCCTTTGCTATTGACAAAACCTTTGATGATCCCTCTTTTACCTGCATTCCCTCAGCATCTTATGTAATTTGTTTTCTCATTGTTTCCTGCATGAGGGTTGTGACCCATTGAGGGTTGAGCCTTTGCGTCTGGTCCAGGCCACGTGTGCCCCTAGCAGGCATCTGTGTGCTTGTTGAACCAATAATACTAACCAAGTGGGCCCTTTTCAGCAAGTGCTCATTGCCATTAGCCAAAGGTAGCATTGTTACTCTTCTAGTTGAGTAGAAATCCATAAACAAACTGCTTCGAAGCATGGATAATGTCAGATACTGATCCTACATCCATAGGTATTGTAGTTCATGCAGGTGGACATGCGGCATGTTTATTGTTGTGATTTTCACATTTTTACATACAAGTGAGTTACAAAAGTACATTTTATGATTCTCTCAGGTAAGGTGTTGGGAAACGTAAGGGAGCGTTTTAGGTCTGCAAAAAGTGGCTGGTCATGTTGCTTACTGAATACAGTGAGTGGCAATAAGAGGGGTCAGTCTGACTTGGCATTGGTATTTCCACAGCAGTGTATTGCTTAATGTCACTCTCACTCCTTTCTGTTTTAGGTGAAATGAGTGAGAGCCGAGCAAAGAGAGTTCGAATAAAAGAGGTAGACGGCTGGACCCTGAGGATGTTAATTGATTATGTTTACACTGCAGAAATTCAGGTTACAGAAGAAAATGTACAGGTAAGATTAAACACTTCACACCATTTAGCTTTTATATGTGCAGTTTTTTAAAATTAAAAAAGCGTACCCACACAGTATACATTTTGTACCAAAGTAGTAATAGGATTCTTTGTTACAATTGTATCTCTAAGGGACATTTGGAGTGACTACATCTTTTTAATGTTTTTGACGTTAGTATCTTTTATATTCTTAAAGTTGTGAAATACAAATCCTTTAGTTCTCTGAATGGTGCTTGTTCTTTCATGAAAACACTGTCAAATTCATTTGTAACTGCTGATTGATGCTGCCTACAATTCTTTTTCATTCTTTTGAAGGGTAAAGTCTATAAAGGATGTTTTTGACTGCTAGCAGTCTTTGCTTCTTTTACTATTTCATAATCCTCTTTAAGTGATTCTGGAGTTTAGCTGAAATCTAACATTGCATCTTTTTTATTTTCTATAAAGGACAAGTATTTTATATATGTTACATAAATATTTAAATAATACAGTTAGATGTGAGTAAAAAGTGAAAGTCCCTCTTTAAAACTGCCCTTCTCTTCAAACCTCCCCTAACCCACACATTCTGATCCCTTCTTCTTCCTCAGTGGGTGGCTGCTGGTACATGTTTGGTATGAATCCTTTCAAACAATATTCCATGCATCATTCATGTACACACACACACACACACATTTTTAGCATAAGTATATTTATACTATGCATGTTGTTCTGCAACTTGTATTTTTTTTTTTTTCCCACTGAGCAAAATGTCTTTGAGGTCTTTACATGTCAATACATATAGTCTAGCTCATTCTTTTGTGTGTTATGTCATATGTCAAATGTGCATGTATGATTTTTTCTACCTTCACAGAAATGCTGCAGTGAATGGATGTTTTTATATTTGCATCCAAAAATTTCATAAGCTAGATTCCTCAAGATGCAATTGGGGGATCAAAGAATATATGCATATTTTAATTTTTGATAGTAATAGCAAACTGCCATAAAAATTTGTATGTATGTATGTATGTATGTATGTACTTATATTCCTTCCAACAGGGATACTGTGTTTTGAGGACAAGGAAAAGAACTATAACTAAATTCTTAAGAAATAATATCTAAAATCTGTTTGCACAAATAAGAAATTGTGGGTACAGTCTTTCATTCCTTCTAACTAGTTGAAATATGCTACAAAATGTTTGAATTATGAGACTGAAATCTTTGTTCTTTAAATTGTTAAGACATGCTATTGATTGTTAAATGTGAAATATTGGTAGTGGTAAGACTTCCTGGTGATCTTTCCCAGATGGTCCCATTGGCCTTTGCTTGGAAGTCCTGTTTATGAGATAATGCATTTGAAAAACCTTGGTCAGTATTGGCATTGTGTGTAAATGTATGACTCAGATGCCAGGTGAACATTTTTTCTCATGGAAGAAAGTGTTTGGTATATGTCATAAGGTTACAGTACCAGTACGTCATCTCATTCTGGCGTTTTCTATACAGTTAAGATATTTGTTGGATTCTGGGACATTGTTTTCATGTGCTTATCTTGAGTTTTTTTTTTTTTTTTTTCTTTGCTTTTTGTTTTTATTCAATTTAGTGCATGGACCTCATTGTGCCCTATATCTGACCTTCAGCAAATGCATTACTGAGTTCTTTGATTCGCATAACAGGCTACACGGGGGAACATGCAATAGATGATTTAGGCCTAAGAGACTAAACTGTGTGAGTTCAGCCCTGAATACTGTTTGTGGTAGTTCTTGTGGTGGGGACATTGGCCTATTAGGAATTAGAAACACACCTCTTGTGTTTCTTTTAATAACTGTAACGTTCCAATTCTGAACTATTAGTCATCACAGCCTTTCAGAAAACCTCTTGCCATGCTAATTTGCCTTTTGTGTATATTTCTTATCTTTTACAGGAATATCTAAGAGTTGTGTTTGGAAGACTTATTAAATACTTAACACTTGTATAGTTTTTCGTTTTTTTTTTTTTTTAAAGAGGGGGAGGGATGTTTCTTTAGCATAGGGGTATCCTGGTATGTAAGCCTTATTTTATATTCCATTGAAAGACACTTGTTTTGAAAAAGGCAGTTTAGAAATAAAATCAATTAAAATAAGCTGCAGTTTTCAGAGCAGGTATTTTTCAATGAAATATAAAATAAGGCTTTACATAATTAAGATACCCCAAACTGTGTTTTCCTCTGGTTTGTGTATTTTTTGTCTATCTTTACTTTGTTAAGTCTTTCTTATAAAGTGCTGTTCACAAACGAATGGAGCAGTATGGTAGAAGTGTCTGGTGTTCTTATTAATGTTAAGCTGAAATTTTAAAAGGCTGCAACTAGAAGCACTACTCTGAGTATATATGCCCTTAAAGCATTGACAGTGGGGACCGAACTTTCTGTAATTCAGATGTTTACTGTTGTTGGTATGTTTTCTCATTATACCTAGAATCAAATCTTTTGCCAGATGGACCTCCCTTTTGTAAGTTTTTGTTTAGTAATAAAGTACAGGTTGAATATCACTTATCTGAGATGCTTTGGACCAGAATTGTTTTGGATTTTGGAGTTTTTTGGATTTGAGATATTTGCAGAATGCTTACTAGTTGAGCATCCCTAATTTGAAAATTTGAAATTTGAAATATTCCAGAGAATATTTCCTTTGAGTGTCATGTTGGCACTCAGAAAGTTTCAGATTTTGGAGCCTTTTGGATTTTGGATTTTTGGATTAAGGATGCTCAACCTGTACAATATTATGGTAGCAAATAACTTTGGGATTGCATGTTTCGACATAGAATCGTAGCACCATAGAATGCTGAGGTCCAGCTGTTTTAGAGTCAGTTGGCAACAGAACAGGATCATAACCCTGGTTTCTGTGATTCCTAGTTTGGGTCCCTTTTATGATACTGTACAGTCTCCTTACTACTCACATGTAAAACAATATGAAACTGTTTGAAGTGAAGGTTGTTAACTTTGAGTCAGAATGAGGGAATGGGTTATTTGAAAAATTAAGTCGAAAGAAGGGATGGTTGTTACTGTATTATGCAAGCAATAGGGCTTTAATTTTTGGCTATTACAGGTTTCCCTCATTGATTTTTTTTTTTTTTTTTTTTTTTTTGGTGTTGCTCTTGTTTTTTGTTTAGGTTTTTAAATTTTGGTTTTGAGTTTAGGTATTTGGTTTTATTTGTGTCACAGTTGGAGGATAATTTGAGCTAAATTAATTTATGGGTTCTTTTTTTTTTTAAAGAGAGCTAAA